CAGCAGCAACCCCACTGATGAGTTCCATACAGATTCCAGAGCTTGATTTGGGGTGGCAGCAGCTCCATCTCAATCCCAGGGGCTCATTTGGGGCACAGGGGACAGCAGCGACCCCATTGCTGAGCTCCATCCCAATCCCAGGGGCTGATTTGGGGCACAGGGAGGAGCAGCAGCCCCATTCCTGAGCTCCATCCCGATCCCAAGGGCTGATTTCCATAATGCCATATTTCCATAATGCCATATCCCGAGTGCCCTGGCTCGGCGCCAGCCCAACCTCCTCCTGCGGGGAGAGCCAGAGCTGAACAAACATCGCTAATGAAGTGACGGGCGAGGCGTGATGAGAGGGATGGAGAGCAAACAGACACGTTGCAATTGTATAAATACCCATTAGTTAGGAATTCTGGGCTGCCAGAGTGCGGGAGGAGGGTTTTATGGGGTGGCTTTGTATGGTTTTATATAGGGTGGTTTTGTGCCGCGCTGTGCATGGGGAGTTGTGGGGTGGGAGGGCAGCAGGGCCAGGTGAGGGGAAGCTCAGAGRGGTGGATTTGGGATCTGGRRGCTTTCAGAGGGGTGGATTTGGGATCTGGGAGCTTTCCCCAAAACGAGGAGAGGGAGAATGAGCAGCAGGAAATGCAGCTCGGCACGTTCCTGCCAAGCCTCCGATTGAGGCAAACCCCAAGGGCTCTGCAAAATGATGAAGGAATTAAGCCCTTGTTTTATTTAATTCTCTGGCTGAGGATTTAGAGGTAAACGTAATTAACCTAATTTCCATATCTGGGACAGCTGGACTTTAGAGAGGAAAAAAAAACAAACCCCGACCACCAAACCTGGCATAAATCACCGGGACGGGCAGAGARGATTTTTCTCTCCGGTGCTTTTCATTGTTTATTCCTTCATCCCTTCCAGGAAAAATCCATGTTTATTGAGTGTCCTGGGGCCGAGGTCCTTGCCCTGATTTTTTCCAGGCTCCCATGAGGTTTCCTCCCCATTTGCAACGGGAATCCTTTTGGGGCTGAGTCCTTGTGGTGCCCAGGAAAGCTGTCCCTG